TCCTGCGAGTTTAAAAGTTCCACTAACAAAGATTATATTTTTATTAGCATGAAAAAAAATTTTGGCAGTTTGAAAACTCGTTTTTAAATAATACACTTGAGATACCTAGTCTTAAAAGCTTACTGACTTGATTAAATGTGGAAAAAATTAATAACGATTAAAAAAATAATAACAATAAAAAAAAAGAAAATTATAATAGTAGTAACAATAATAATAATGATAATAATATTAATAATAAACGAAAAAAAACAAAATTTGTACACTTCTACATTCACAAAGTAGCATATGAATATAAGAAAGTTATTAAAGATTTTTAAAAAAACACCAGTGAATCACTCCAAGAAGCTGCGCTACGACCATAAAAGGCATCGATTGTCAACGGGAGGTGAAACGTCAACAGATGAAACCGACTAAAGCACAATTACAGTAAACAATTATATCTTACCAAAAGCACTATGCAAATCTGGAGTAAAAAAACACACACATACACACAAAATACTGTCCAGAAAGTACTTTCTATCAGACAACTATAGTAGCTGATGCAGCCGTCATTGGCACTCGTCCATTTCTATCGCTCTATATCTCCTTGCGCTGATGATTCTTATGGTGTTTTTGTCCCTTTCGCCTACGCCGATGGATGAGAAACTGCTCGAGTGCAGTTTCGTCTCGTGAGATGAAGAGGAGAGAAGAGTAGAGGTAAATACAACAAAATGCACCTCTCCGTCGCATGCCCATCTGTTTATGCGTTTTGCTTTATGCTGTATGCACACGAGAAATTTCACGAAAAATTTCATTAGGAATATGACGTTTTGAAAATTTATTGACAAATTTTGTAATCTCGTAAGTCTTTGCAAATTAATTTTTAGTTTACTTTTTCAAGTACGATTATATTTATACTTAATTAGTTGGTACTGTAAATTATTTTGAAATTTTAGGAGCAGATTATGCAGTGAATCAAAAAAAGATTACTTCTTTTCATTATGATTTTTTGCGTAGCAAAAATTAGTTGAAACTACAGTTTATCTTTACAAATATTAAATCTCTTTTTACAAGCATTATATTAAACATATTTGAAAATTTTTGTTCTACGCACCTGTTCTGAAAATATCTATGTAAATAACAAAAAAAAAATGTTGTTTGCAAGTATTCAACTTAAAAAAAAATTGTTTTTCTTGTTTTCTTTTTTTAAAAATATTTTTGAATTCATAGAAAATTACTACATGGATCATAACTTTTTGAAAAATCTTTCGATTAATGTATAATTAATTGTAAGATAAAAACGTCAATTGACCTGCCAAGTACGACTTATTGCATTAAACAGTCAAACAACATTTGTTTCCAAAATTTTCAAATCGATCTTTCAGGCTGATCTTACTGCATAGGACTGTAATCAAACAGATAAGACCAATACAAAAGGCCAGAAAAATTGTTTGTTTTCAGATTGTAAAACAGATGGAATTTTCGCGGAATCGCTTGTGTACGCATACCATATAAAGAAAATATGTGTGGGCAAGTGCCAGTGGGCAGACATAGGCAGGTCGCGCCTACAGGTCAGTGTACTTACAGCCGTGGGCTCAGCTCTTTGAACTCTCTCTTTCGCCCGAGTCGTTGAGAGATTAGGCTACTGTGGAGGCTATTGTATTTACTACTACGTATATCAGGGGAAGGATTACTTGTACTAGTGAGAAGCCTTGTAGTTACCGATTCAATCAGATTTTCGCAAAATTTTGATTACAGTTTCCATTTTTATTGAAATTCAGAAAAAGTTGCGTGTTTCCGATTCTCAAGATTCATCTACGATAGACTTACTACAATTCCCTCAACTTTTTATCAAAGCTTTACATTGTTACGAAGTCATGGTAGATTTTTCGAAAGCTCGTGTGCGGCAGATTTGCAACAGATAAGTGAGGACGAGTTTTGCCCGATTTCTGAGTGAGTTCTGTAAAAAGTTGCTTATGAATGTAAGGTAAACTCACTTACGGCGGAGTACGTCAGCTTTTTACCCGTCTTGAGAAGTAGTTTTATTTATTTTTTCTAGTATTTTTGAAACTCAAACATATCCAAATAAAAAATTTTAATTATTACAAACATGTTAAAGAAGTGTTGGATCGATGGTAATTTTTAATGCCATCAATCGATTTCACGCCATTAAAATTTTTTTGATGTTGCTTGTGCTAGTTTGTGCTAGCAGTGCACATAAAGAAACGATGTTTAAGCAAGGGTAGTCTTGTTAATCTTGGTTATGTTAGTTAAAGAATTTAATAATAGCACTTTTGGAGGTAGTTTTTGCATTGTTTAAATAAGGCAAGTATTTATTATTGTGAAATAAATTGTTATGCTGGTAAATCAGGATAATTATAAAAAGTATTTGATTGATAAAAGCGACACGTTAATGTTTGTCCCATCATATACATTTGAAAGTAACTTATTTTTCATAAATGTTAATGTTTCTGTTTATGATTTTGCAATGCCTGCAATGACTCAAACGAGATACACACACCAGCGAGATGTTACCAAACAGTGCACTTGTGCCTAGGATTCATTATTGTGCCGAGTGGACAGTTAAAATCTTTGGAAAACTTGGGCATATTGGACATGGGCCCAAGGACCCGAAACTCGGGGGGACTGTGCAATCCAGTGGTGATACTCAGTTTGAGCTTCTCAGGCCGGAATTTACTGCACCAAGTGTTGGCCGTGCTCAACCAGAACATCTGTTGGCCAGTGTAATTAAGGCCCGGAAGTTGAGCTTCGGGACCATTTCGTCTCACCCACTTCTTATAGGCTAGATAGGCCAATTTGATGCCTCCGTTGTCTGCGATGTTTTCGCCTTGAGTCGTAACGCCATTTACCTTTGATAATGAAGAAAGATAATGGAAATTCAATTTCCACGAAAATGTTTTCTACGACATAATATATACAAAATTATTGCTTACAAATGAATGCAACTTACATTTAATTGAGCTTCCTTGGACGTGTAATTGCCGTACTGATATATTATACACTTAGCTTTTTGAAGGAATTTCTTTTCGGTTTCCTCCCCCCACCAATTGACCAGGTTACCATTTTTGTCAAACTGCCGGCCTAGATCGTCGAAACCGTGGGTGATTTCGTGGCCGATTGCATAACCGATTGCACCATAATTCATATATTTTGGACGGTCACTGTTGAAAAATGCCCCTTGAAGGAGGCCAGCTGGTAGTTCTGTTGATGGAAGGATTAAAAAGTTTTCATTATTACGTTTTTAACATTTTTTTTAATGGTAAGGTACAAGATTCTATGTAGTATCAAGCCTATAAAGCGTATTATTTTCTGATTGAAAGATTTTTTTATAAAATGTGATGGTAAGCGAGAACTATGAAATTAAATGCTTTCTTTGATTGGATATCCAAAAATGTTGAGTTTTCCGCCAAAATTTAAGTATGACGATTGTGAGTATAACTAATGAAAAGAATTTTAATATTAATGTTGGGAAATTGATGAGTTTCTTTTAGAAGGTTCCGGCAAAAAATAAAAAATATTAGATAACATTGAATGAAAATTATGTTNAAAAAATTGGACACGGTACCAAATACAACTATCTAAATATGATATGGAATTTAGAGCCCCAGATATTTTATGGCAAATAATTCAGAAAAGATAAAGTAAGAGAAGCTAATAGTTAGACGGAAGTATGAAATGAAAATGATGGGGATATTTGCAATATTGGAAGGGTGAAAATTTTAAGTGAGTAAGAAGTAGAAAATGTAAAAAATCCGGATGGCTGAAAATTTTGAAATTTTCAAAAACCCAGTCGTATGGCTGCTCTAGGAGAAAGCGAGTACAAATGACCACCAGATCAACTTGGGAATTGGACAAATTGAGGAAGTAATAAATAAAAAAATAAAATAAAATAAAAGTAGGAATTATTCATATGTGGTATTGGGAAAAAAGACTAGATTTTGAAAAAAGGATATAAAGCTAGAGTTGTTTACTGCACAAAATAGTGAGCTCACACTTGGCTGTCGAGTGTAATACCACAGAAAGTGCCAAGGTCTGAATTACTTTCATTGACGTAATGCTTTTTTTCCATTGAATGGTTGTTATGTCATTAAAAAAATCAATAACGTCAAACCCACCTATGCTATTCTCAGTATTGCTGTAATACGCGTTGACGATGGCAGACATGCCATGATAGATCCACTCGCTCTTGTTGACCGGCTTCCTCAATATCTCGAAGGCATACTCAGTTCCAAACAGCGTCAGATTAAGGGCACTTTCGAGGTAACTGCCCGATGAAATCTCCAGCTTTTCGTAGAACTTCTCGAGCTTTTCGTCGTCGAACAGCTCTTCCGGATACGCTATGTGGGTTGTCATGGATTTGGCCTTATCCAGGGCAGCCTCTCTCGTTTTGTTGTCCATCCAGTCGATCTTTAATCCATCAGTTACATAACATATTTTATTTTCTGTTGTCAATAAAATTTTGATAACTTAAAATAGATTTTTGTACTGACTGTGTGCAGGATTTTTATGAACTCATTTCTGATGTCTGATACCATCTCGACGACGGTCGATTTTGCATCCTTGTTAAAGTACTTTCGTACGTAGAGCGCGCCTACACTTATAAGTAAATCATCACTTGCAAAATCCATGCACTCCTTCCAACGTGGCTTGCGTTTTTTTATTCCTATCGTAGTAGAATAAGAATTTCAGTTTTCTCAATTTCATATTATTTGAAGTAAATTGTGAAAGCAACGCGAGTATATTTATAATTATTTTAAATGTTTATGTGACACACTCTAGTGCAAGATCAATATTTTTTACTTTTTACATGCATAAGAAAAAATAATCCGAAGAACAGCTGTGGCCTATTATAAATAAATATTTTGTATTTGGACAAAAAAATTCGTTTTACGGAAGCTATCACAGATGAACGTCTGTACGTGATAATAAACTGTTTACATTAGACAAAAGAGTGAAATACGAACAATTTATATTTTTAAGGAATCTAATACGTTACTACAAAATGCAGTTGTAAAGTGTAAGTTATAATAATCAAATTAAAGTAGTTAATTGTTTAAAGAATAAAATGAGCTTTCTTTTGTTTTTTGACCAACAACATTGTTTAAAAAGGAATAACATTTTTTTAACGTATTGTATGAGACGTCCAGCTTTTGTACATACGATTTTGTTGTATAATGTTTCTACAGATATAAACTTTACTGGTTAAAGCTAAATAACAGACTTTTTGTATTGTGAAACGTTTTGTGTAATTTTGATAACATGGCAATAAATATAAATGAATACTGATTATCTGCGGACCTAAAATTGTAGCTCTAACAGTTACATGCAAAACACTAATTTCCAAAAGCTTTGTAGTTTCCATTTTTACTGGCTGGATACCATTACAATGAAAAAAATTCAGATAATAAATCTCACCTTTGGTTATTTTATAAAATTCGAACGGCTGCTTCCTGATTTCGTCGTCGAGGTAATCAATAGAACTTTCAGCAACGCGCCACATTAAGTAGTTCGCCAGTACTCGTTTGGGCGTTTTCATAAGCAATTTTTCGAGTTCTGTGATGAAAGTTGGCACATTGACGACGACAACCTCATCCTCCGTGACGCTAGTTGTTGGTGCCAATATGGTGTTGAAGTACTCAATCCAAGGTATGGACGGGAATCGCTTGGACAGCTCGGCTATGGTCATTGCGTTGTACAGAGCCGTGATGTTGCGCCGTTTTTCACTCGGAAGTGAGATCTAAGAAAAATAATTTAGTTTTTTTTCTTTTTTTTTGCTTCGTTTTTGTGCTTACGTTGGCGAGTTTGATTTCAAACTCCAGTGACTCCTTGAGTTGCTCAGCGGCGTAGTCTCGATCGGCTCCGAGGATTTGGGCAATGTCGACCATGTAATTGAAGTAAGCTTTTACGATTCTATCTCTTAAGCCACGTGACAGGTACTCGCGTGACACACCCAGCGTTGCTTGATCCAACTTAAAGAAAAAGTCGTGATTAAATAGTAGTAGATGTTAAAAGGGACAAACGAACTAAATATACGAATATTTGAAGGAAGTATAAAATGAGGAAGGTACAAAATTCAGTTGCTAAAAAGCAACAATGATATTACTCTCTCCTTGGTTGTGGTTATTTACTTGAATGACGCGTTTTGTGTTATTTTTGAGGTGAGTGTAGACACTTAAATCGATGAAGAAATTGAATAAGTAGCCCATTTTGCGTAACTTATAGACAGATTCAGTCCAGCTCCAGTCGTCTTCGACCCAAGAATTATTCATCAGAACTGGCCACCCACCCAATTCCTTCAGATTTCGATGCAATGGATCCAGACCTTCTTCTTCGATATGGGCTGTAATTTTTTTTGTATAAGTTAAAAATTGCACTTCAATGTCATTGGACACCATATCACGTGTTAGAGCATCAATAAAAAAGATTTCCGTAAAGTCAAACTTCATAGAACGTTACAACTACTTATTTATTTTCAATATCAGAAAGAATAAAAAAATAAAATAGAAACTTTACTTACTCAAGTTCATGCAGTTCTGGTAGTAGGTCTTGAGGAGTTTGAATGGCCTTGGGTCGTCAGGTTTGCTCTCCTCTTCGATACTGGCTCTGAGCTGCTTTTGCAGCTTGTCGCTGATGATGCTAAAAGTGTTGACGCTCGTCTTATCGTCGGGTATGATTGTGTTTTTATGGAAACCTCCACAAGCGAATCTGTAGAAATCGTCGCAGGGCTCGACTGTTGGATCCATGTTTTTCAATACCGATGAGGCTATAAATATATTAAATAATGTTGGTTTCTTTGATTTCGTATTAATTTCTATTAATCATAATTCATGCAAGCTATGATGTTTCCATCATATCTTAATGGCTGCGGTCGTAATTACGTCACTTTTGCGTACAAATTTTTGTTAACTTCTTTCTGCGATTATCTGGTGCCCCAAAGTCATATCAATCTAATCAATAAGATGATAAATCTTTCTTTGTCAATCCACCCAAAAAAAATAATTTATACCACTAATTCCAATCTTTTGTTGATCAATTACCAGAATTTTGTTTCTCATTATGATAATTGTCACAAAATAAAGAAGTGAAGTTGAAAACATACCCGTGTTTTTACATTCTGTTGTGTTGCAGATCTCTGGCAAGGGTAGGAGAACCTCTGGTACTTTTTGTCCAATGGATCCACTCAGAGTTTTCGCTGTAGAGAATAAAATTTTTGCAATAGTTCAGATGAATATTCTTATTAGCCAATGTGCCAATGACAATAATGGAATGAGCAAATGTGTGAAGATTTCATGGATGGATGGATAATTATACACATATATTGAGGTGGTTGACATAAAAAATTGGACACGGTACCAAATACAACTATCTAAATATGATATGGAATTTAGAGCCCCAGATATTTTATGGCAAATAATTCAGAAAAGATAAAGTAAGAGAAGCTAATAGTTAGACGGAAGTATGAAATGAAAATGATGGGGATATTTGCAATATTGGAAGGGTGAAAATTTTAAGTGAGTAAGAAGTAGAAAATGTAAAAAATCCGGATGGCTGAAAATTTTGAAATTTTCAAAAACCCAGTCGTATGGCTGCTCTAGGAGAAAGCGAGTACAAATGACCACCAGATCAACTTGGGAATTGGACAAATTGAGGAAGTATCACGAATAAATATTTTTAAAAAAAGTTATGAAAGATAGACCAAGGATTCTGGGTAACAATGAATACTTTAAGTGGGAGATGGGGTGTTAAGGGTTATGTATGTGATTCGTATCAACACTCTATGAACAGGTTTTTTTTTAAAGTGAAATTTTTTATCTCTTGTTTCAGATACTGGTATATTGATAAATATAAATCATACTGTCATTAAATTAAATAGTGATTTTAGTTGCACTGCACGTAAAAGGTCGTAAAATGCAAATCATTAAAAAAATGCAGTCGCTATTCGAATAGTTTTTTAGAAAAGCTGGAATTAGAGGTTTTACACAATGGCCATTTTTAGTGTAATGACCTTCATCGATAATTGTTACTACAAATTTTGTGATTTATGTTTTGTCCGGACAAGCTGTAAGAAAAAACATTAGTATCTAAACTAAAACCATAAATGTCTAGATCCACGTTTATGTACATATATATATATATATATGAATGTAATCGCTGAATAAATTTAACCTTTATTTAACCAAATTTGTACTTTACTGAACGATAAAATTAGTTTGACGCAATACGTATTTCTGATCGACTACCTATTTTTGAAAATAGTCAAAGATTCTCATGTTTTGTTTGAATTTTTATTATTCTTTGCAACTGTTCTCTTAATAAATGCATTCCAAAGTTAAGCTTGTAATACATTTCTACGATTAGTCCAAAATATTCATACCTACTTACCTATGGATTATCATGTAATTAGTAAAAGATTTTCCTTATAATTTTTTTCTTGTACATGAGCACATAATTCTAATAGATTCTTAAATAACTACCTGTTATCTGCATATAATAAAAATAATAATTAGATATAATAAGTAACTGTTAGTTTATCTGAGCATAATTGTGAATGCTACAGCGTGTGTCGCTGAATTCGTAGATTTTTCAATTTTTATTTCTTGATAAGATAATTAAGTTTTTGTAGCATAAATTTTCTTAGTCTGATATAACTGTTAAAGCATTTTATAATATAATTTTGATTAGGATTATAATGATAATATTATATTATCATAATGCTTGTAAAAAATAAGGTAATCATTCAGTATGATACTTCGAACTGCCGTTAATTATAAGCACCAAGCATATACATACCAAATTACAATAGTTAAGCTATCTTTAGTTATTCGTAACTCATTAATCGGAATTTCTTTTCCTTTTGTTTCCGAATTTCAGATATCCTTATTGACACTCGACAATATTAACATGCTATGGTATTGGAGTATTGAACGACCAGTTACGATTTACGTGTGAAATCGTACATTTTTTTAACAAATCAATTGCTAATTTGTATGTGGATGAAAAATGTTATTAATACACAGTAATACTACTTAGTTAATATATTTAGTAGTATGATAATTTCTAGATCTACATAAAAGTACTCGTGTATGTCATTTGTTATTGTTGTTAATTTTTTTTACGCTTACCAGTGGAAGCCGCATCACAATTCTCGATATTGTGGATGGTGAACACGAGACCAATGGCGAAAGCTGCAGCTGCCAAGGCGGAACACATTGTTACGACTATGAGGCTACTCTCGAGTGCCGAGTGTCTTGTCTACTATACTTTCTTTTCACCTGTAAAAGACGAAGAAAAATAAATGGCTACAGATAATATGTGATGTTTTTTCATACAAAGGTAAACTTGTACCTTCATTATCAAAGCAAAAGGTACACTTTTACTCCAGAGTTGTCTGGACACTTTTACTTCAGATAGACGTGTATGAAGAGAGTCAATCTACGTTAATAGACACATCTCATAAGAGAAAGCTCGTGATGATAAAAAAGAGACACGTTACTAAAGTGAGCATTTTTTTAACAAGAATTTTTTACTGTTACTTTTCCCCGATTGGGAAATTTTATTTATTCGGATTCTGATTCCACGACCCAGCAACGTTTGTAAACAAATGAAAGCAACTTAAACTTTAAGTGAGTGTTTAGACACGTATAGTTTTAACTTTACGGAAGCCAAAAAGGAAAACTTTTAAGTGCTTGGATCAAGTGGTCGAACATATCTTTTGTTCTGTGTGGATCTTGTAGACTGGACATTTAGAGAATTCCAACTCCATAGTGACTTGTAGTTTGAAAATTTAGAGAATTCCAACTTTACGGGAAGATATACTAACAAATAGTTGTTGAGTCATTCGAAATTTTTAGTTTTAAATTTTCCACATGGGAATTAGACTTAAAATCAGTCCATAAATGCTCGAACTACCAATACCACATACCGGGCTAAAAAAAGTTTGACTCGACCAACAAAGAAAATAAATAATAAAGTTGTATGAGATGCGCAATAATAATACTATTTTTACTACTTACTGTATAGCTGTTGGCTGCACGTTATTAATCTTTTTTAGCTAACGATAACTCGAGAACGTACTTGCAAGTCGTTAACTCTTTCTTGTTGACTTATTGCTTCAATTTGTACTGCAAATATTTCAAAGCACAAAAATATTGTACAAAAAATTTAAAAAGCTGTATTTAGCTAGTGAGCAATGATCTATGAAATATACAACTAGAAAGATAAAAAGCACAAGTTTTCTCCCGCTCTAACGTATCGTTAAATACTTTGATGCCTCAAGTGGTTCCGTCCAAAGTATTGGTGTAAAAAAATAGAATTAAGCGATTATATCGCACTGTATTGACTCTTACCTTAATTGTACATCATGTAGGTGGTGTCACAGAGGCAACACAATACTGCAGAAGCTCGATAAACTTTACAGTCGCTTATAGATTCAAAATGTAATTATAACGAGTTTATCATCAAATGGCCATTACGAAATTAATTGTGGAAAGGCCAATTGGATAGAAATTTTAGATAATTTTTTTTTTTTTTGAGTTTTGTAAATTAAAAAAAAATCTGTGGTTTTACGTATACACTTAAAAGTAATTAAATTTGGAATGTTATTAGTTAACACTGATGTTTTTTTTTATCTGTCTAACAACATACCCATTTGAATTTAATTATACTCAAGAAGAACAACCTATTGGCTCAGAGAAAAACTTGGTTTACAAAAGTTCATTTTCTTAACTCGTACTTTTAAGTCTTATTTCAACATACCTCTACACTTATACATAGAGACACATTTAGTTAAATTGGCACCTTCCGTAGAACTTAGTCGAATCAGTTTTTTTTTTCTTTCTTTTTTTTTATGCAACAAATTAACATTCTTTCTGTTGTCATCATTAAATAAAAAAATGTCTATGGTCGTAATATGAGAAATCGACAAACTGATGTAACAAAAAAATGTTTTTTTTTTGTTGTGACTCAGGCCACAGTTTTTATCCTATAGATTCCAAGTATAAAAGTAATCAACGTACACATTTCTTTTTCACACGCTCTTTTTGAACATTCAAAATGTTTTTAAAAGGTTTCGAATAATGTATTATCAAACAAGATACTTTTGCACTTTTTATTTTTATTTGCTTTGGCATTACATTATCATACATTTGTTACAAGTTTTTTATACACTTTTTCTGTACTATGACACTCGATGATTATTTTATTTTGTAACTAGATGTACAGTTATTTTTTTACCATTACTTAATATAGCTTTTCCTAAATGAATACACAATTATTACATAATAAATTGGCACATTTTACTGGTTACCACACAGCGCACTTATCCTTGGGATTCATTTTTGTGCCCAGCGGACAGTTAAAATCTTTGGAAAACTCGGGCATATTGGACATGGGTCCGAGGACCCGAAACTCGGGGGGACTGTGTACTCTAGTGGTGATACGCAGTTTGAGCTTCTCAGGCCGGAATTTACTGCACCAAGTGTTGGCCGCGCTCAACCAGAACATCTGTCGGCCAGTGTAATTAAGACCGGGAAGTTGAGCTTCGGGACCATTTCGTCTCACCCATTCGTTGTAGGCCAGATAGGCTGCTTTGATGCCTCCGTTGTCTGCGATGTTTTCACCCTGAGTCGTAACGCCATTTACCTTTGATAATGAAGAAAGATGTACTGCATAAGAATCATTTTTTTATTATATAATTAGTTGAATTGGAGATATTGAAGAAAAAAAACGATGCGCAGAAGCTCAATTTTCAATGCGATGCAATTTAGTTAAAACTTACTCATTTACCTAATAATCCTAAAATGAACGAAGCTGGAAAAAAAGGGTGGGGTGGAAATGCAAAATAATTGTTTAGGAATCGAATGGAAAGGCGATATCAATAAAATTGTCATCCGAAACTTAAGGACGGTTTGTGTGAACGGATTTTTTTTCAATCTAAAAAAAAAATGTGTAGCAAGTAGTTGTGCATTTAAAAAAATTTGTGTTTTTATTTAGAAATGCTGTAAAAAAATTGTCATTCCTTTCTGCTGGACGGTTTTTGAGAAATTAAATGTAAGAGTGGCAAAAATTTTTGATTTTCACTCGCTTCTTAAAAAAATTATTAAAAAATCGTTAAAACTGTTAAAAACGGATGATATTTTTTTACTCCATGTTTTCAGAGAGTTAAATTATGATATAATATATATGAATGTCATACGCTTTTATAACTTTTAACCCCATTTTCAATCCCTTAAGAGATTGTCCTATCTGTATGCCNCGAGACCTACGAAGAGGGTTGGCATTTCTGCACGAGGGAGCCCCCTTAAATCAAATAAATAATTTCTTAATAACATATCACTTAACAGATTTAAGTAAATATTTATTTTATTTAAAGACACTTCTTTTATAATGAGTAGTACCAGTAGTTCTCAAAAGAGAGTTAAATTATGATATAATATATATGAATGTCATACGCTTTTATAACTTTTAACCCCATTTTCAATCCCTTAAGAGATTGTCCTATCTGTATGCCATCAGAAACGCTAACGATAACGTGCAATATTATCAATCACTTCTGGGGTTGAAATCACACAAAAAAATTCCAAATTTTTTATTACAAGAAACTATCTACACTTGTGTAAACAGTTAAAAATTTTGTTAAAAAAATAGGTGTTTCTTGATTCCAACATGTTTTACTAAAAACTGTTGTATAGTTAAAATTTTTTTTTATGAAATCATGTAAACCAAAAACTTTTTTCTCTGTAATGCGTTTTATGATTATCCACAAAAAAGAGTAACTTACATTAAGGATATAATAAGTAACTGTTAGTTTATCTGAGCATAATTGTGAATGCTACAGCGTGTGTCGCTGAATTCGTAGATTTTTCAATTTTTATTTCTTGATAAGATAATTAAGTTTTTGTAGCATAAATTTTCTTAGTCTGATATAACTGTTAAAGCATTTTATAATATAATTTTGATTAGGATTATAATGATAATATTATATTATCATAATGCTTGTAAAAAATAAGGTAATCATTCAGTATGATACTTCGAACTGCCGTTAATTATAAGCACCAAGCATATACATACCAAATTACAATAGTTAAGCTATCTTTAGTTATTCGTAACTCATTANATTATATAATATTCTTTCCCAAACTATGAATTTGTGTTTTAAACTGTAATAACTCAACGGTGAAGATAGATATTTAATATCAATAAAGATTACAAGGCGTATTATCTCTCATAAATAATTACATGAAGTTAATGAAAAGAAATACAACCACACAATATATGATAGATTGACTAAACGCGCTACAGCTCATTAAAGTGAAATAAGGAAGAAAAATGAGAAACAATTACTGAGCTATAAATGGAATACTAAAATATCGAGACATTAAAGTTATTGATAGAAAAAGAAAATTATAGATAGCTATGATATCGTACGTAACAATAATAATTTGGGTTCAACATTGCAGTCGTAGGATATTAATTATTATAATAACGGATACATAACTTTAGGGATAAAAACAGAAATAAAGATGTGTGATTAAGTAAGCAGAGCTACTGTCATAATTAAAAATACTTAAATCAATAATCACGAACATATAATATAAATGACTATAACTGGAACTATGACTCAAAGTTCAAAAAAATATGTAACAGATACAGAAACATATGTATTGTACAAATGAGTACCATAACCATTTTAATGGACTTTAAGAAGTGTATTAAATGGTAAAAACATTAGGAAAAATAATCGTGAATCAAAAGAATGACCCAAAATGAGAAAGGTTTATTTAGAGGTTTACAGTTTTTAATGAGATATGTACAAATGGTGGTAGAAAAACAATGTAACTCCAAATGAGATATTTAGAAAAAATTCACTCTGACAGACACGTTACTTAAATTTAAACACCTGAATTTAAACACTGAGAAAAAAAGTACACGAAACGATTAAAATTAGAAAGATCCATAAAAACTGTCCGTGAAAAATTGTTTTCACTTAAAAAATACAAGAAAAAAGTGAAGAAAAATTTGTGTTCATGGAAATATGTGACATATCAAAACATGAAAAATTTAAAGTAAACACGGAAAAATATGCATGAAAATATACTGAGAGGAAGTCTTTAGCTGGAAAATTTTAAACTTCAGAGCAAGATCGTTTATTTAACTAGTAAGTTTTTTAGTAGCCTCCAATTATGGTTTAACATTTGGACAACTTTTGTAAGGGAATGAAATAATAGTAAGATGTGATAGTAAAAGACATAAATGATGTCGTTGTTAATATATCGGAAGGCATATGAAAAGAAAAAAGGAACAAGATGAAGAAAAAAAAAAGATTATGAAAGAGAAGAAATATTGCAGTAGTTTACAATAAAGACCAACAAAACTTAAAGTTTACATTTTTTGCTAATAAATGGTTATAATCATTTCATAAAGCAGGATTAAAAAAACTAAAGTTGTATCCTTAATTTAAAGCATTAATTTTTGCATGTCAAGTGCAAAGAATAGCAAATCCTATTAGTGTTTCCACGTATAAGCTCATGTCATCAAATCTTAACTTCATAATAGCAACAAAAACAGGAACAACAACATCGTAAATTGTTTTATACTCACGTATACTATTCTTGGTGGGGCTGTAAAACGCGTTGACAATGGCAGATTTGCTGTGGCTGATCCACTCGCTCTTGTTGACTGGTTTTCTTAGTGCCTCAAAGGTGTTATTTTTACGAAAGCGCGACAAGTTTAGGGCACTTTCGAGGTAACTGCCCGATGAAATCTCCAGCTTTTTGTAAAATTTCTTCAGCTTCTTGTCGTCGAGCAGCTCGTCCGGATACGCTATATAAGTGGTCATGGATTGGGCTTTTTCCAGCGCAGCCTCTCTCGTTTTGTTGTCCATCCAGTCGATCTTCAAATCCATCAGTTGCAAAACATATTTTATTTTCTATTCTCAATAAAATTTTGACAACTTAAAATAGATTTTTGTACTGACTGTATGCAGGATTTTTATGAACTGAGTCCTGATTTGCGAAACCATCTCGATGGCATCATTCTTTGCATTTCCATTGAAGTACTTCCTTACGTAGAGCGCACCCACGATTGTTGAAAAGCGGGAACTTACTGAATTAGTGCACTTCTTCCATCGTGATTCGCGCTCGGTTTTCCCTGTTAGATTTTTTTACTTTATTTTATTCAAACTAGTCTACAACAACAACGAAATTGTATGTGTGATCTAAATTAAGGAACTAATGTTTTGTGACTGTCCAAGTGACTAAGAGATGTATGGACTCGCTTTCTAGAGTTTGAAACAAACCAAGTTTTTATTTATTTATTCTTTTTAGTAAAAATACCTTAATAACCGAGCAATTATTGTAAAAAATCCTGTTTGTCTTCACCTGAGCCTCTTTCCGTGACAGCATCTATCTCTATCCAACTTTTTATGTTTCTTACAAAGTATCTCTAACACTGTATGCGTCTTTAAGTTTTTTTGGATCTTTTAAATTGATGCTCTTTGTTCATTTTTTTTTTTTTTAAATACTTTAATTTTTCGTACTGCATGATTCTCGATTTTAAGTGTTATCTTTCACTGCTTCCTAACCAAAAGAGCTATTCTCTTTGTCTTTAAAAAAAAAATAGATCTATAAATGCGTATGTTTATCTCAAAGTCAATCTGTATGTGTCTTAGTAATTTGTAACTTGTACATATGTCTGTAAATGCATCTGTACCTACATTTCTTCCTTTATCGGCAATCTATTTAAGGAGGTTCGGGAGTATCATTCAGAGAGGCGAGTCAGGCGAGGAACGGGGATTCCCCCTTGCCCACGCAGCTGGGCCCCCTTTACCGCGCACCTCCTCTTGCACTCTACTAACTTTGAACTGTACGACTGTAACTGCTTATATTTTTGAAAAATGCCTGGCAAGGCTTGATTTTTTTTGTCGAGTATCTTCCTATTGTAACAAGGTATCTGTGAAAACGTTTTTTTTTTATTCCAACAGACGAATATACTTTAATTTCAATTAAAAGGCAACTTAACCTTGTTCTCCATAAGAGACCGCGTTAAACTGTCAATATTTCATAATTTTTTTCTTGAAAATTTCCACTAGTAAAAAATCTGAAAAAATTCATGTGCACTCTTAAAATGCTCAAATATAACATACCTTTTTTTTGGCCAGTTTCTATATTTTGATCTTTTCTCCCAAACCTCCTTAATTATTCATAGTATTATTTCAGTTTATGTGTCGTAGGTCTTGTCACTATTATAATGTTTTTGTTTTGTGCTCTAATTCTACATCGTTCTTCTACATACACAGTTTCGTCCCTATGCTTCTGTCTACATACTTCATGTAACTCGTTTCTGTGTTTAATAATTCGTACACACCACTTCATTCATGGAAAATGCTATAAAATTCGAGAGGTTGCTGAGGGCAAGTGGAAGGGCTCGCGATCGAACACTTAAAATAAATAAATTAAAAACGTAAACAAATGGTCGTCAAAACTAAATAAAGTAACAAATTAAGATACATATTTGTTGTTGTTAGAATGAAAATATAGAAAAATCAAGAAAAAATCTCACCTTCAACAATTTTAAAGAATTCAAACTGCTGTTTCCTGATCTCGTCGTTCAGGTAGCTAACAGAACTGTCAGCAACGCGCCACATTAAGTAGTTCGCCAGTACTCGTTTGGGCGTCTGTACAAGTAACTTCTCAAGTTCTGTGATAAAACTAGGTGCTTTTACGACGACAACCTCATCTTCTGTGACGCTAGTTATTGGTGCCAATATGGTGTTGAAGTACTCCATCCAAGGTATGGACGGGAATCGCTTGGACAGCTCGGCTATGGTCATTGGGTTGTACAGAGCCGTGATGTTGCGCCGTTTCTCACTCGGAAGTGATATCTAAGAAAAATAATTTAGTTTTTTTTTCTTTTTTTTTTTGCTTCGTTTTTACTGCTTACGTTGGCGAGTTTGATTTCAAACTCCAGTGACTCCTTGAGTTGCTCAGCGGCGTAGTCTCGATCGGCTCCGAGGATTTGGGCAATGTCGACCATGTAATTGAAGTAAGCTTTTACGATTTTATCTCTTAAGCCACGTGACAGGTACTTGCGTGACATACCCAGTGTTGCTTGATCCAACTAGTGAAAAACGGACATGTTTGTTTCTTTAATATTATTTTTGAAAATTTAATGGAACTTTGAGTTTAGCATATTTGAAACTTGACAATAAGATTTTTTTGTGTTTGATTATTATCGTTAGCCAAGTAAAATAATGAGCTTTCGGAGATAAAATAAACATGTATCTTTAATATGAGGACTAAACAGCACTTTTTGAAAAAAAAATGCAATGATTGAGGAGAAAATTTTAAAAATATTGTGGATTTGTTAACTTACATAGATAATGTTCTTTGAACTGTTTTTGTAATCGGAATCGATGCGAATGTTGATGAAATAATTAATCGAGTAGCCCTTATTGCGTAGTTTATAGACGGTATCCTTCCAGCTCCAGTTTTCTTCGACCCAAGAATTTATCATCAGAACTGGCCACCCACCCAATTCCTTCAGATTTCGGTGCAATGGATCCATACCTTCTTCTTCGATATGGGCTGTAATTTTTTTTGTCTAAGTTAAAAATTATACTTCAATGATTTTGGACACCATGTCACACGATAAAGTTTAAATAAAAAAAGCCAATTGAATTTCCGCTTGAATCCCACTGTTCGTAACAATAAAAAGGGAAGATAAAAAAGAGATTAAACTCACTTGTGTTCATGCAGTTCTGGTAGTAGGTCTTGAGGAGTTTGAATGGCCTTGGGTCGTCAGGTTTGCTCTCCTCTTCGATACTGGCTCTGAGCTGCTTTTGCAGCTTGTCGCTGATGATGCTAAAAGTGTTGACGCTCGTCTTATCGTCCGGTATCATCGTGTCCCTAAGGAAACCTCCGCAAGCAAATCTGTAGAAATCGTCGCAGGGCTCGACTGTTGGATCCATGTTTTCCAATATCGATGAAGCTGTATATGCACGTCAAGTAATGAGTCAATTTTTTTTTCAGTTGAATAAATTTGAAATTTCAAAAGATTCTCGTACGTAGTTTGATTTTATTGTTTTAAGAGGAAATTTTCGTAGATTCTAGTTAAAGCCTACGTGTAGTAAAAATTTCGTTATTAAACTTCAAGATGACGAATAATATTTTTACTTGAGTTTTTAAAAATTAAATTAATTGAAAGAGATACCGAAAAAAGATATTATATTTAACTTATACACTTTTTTTTAGTTTTGTACATTACATGAAATCCACTTATCTAACATTATTACGACAAATTTTTTAATATTTAGCTTTAAAATATTTTGTAAAATCATTGGGTCATCGCAAGAAAGAGTTTTTAGTTTCAGTCTGTAACGATCGTCTTAAAGATATAGACTGAGCCTGATGAGGTTGGCGTTAAGACCAACGAAACGTTGCTCAAACTAACACCTGACTTTGGAGTTTTTATTCTCACTCCTAAATTAGCTCTTACTGATCGTGTGCTTATGCACTAAACCTCAAGAAATCATGAAAACAATTGGGAGCAGAACGGCACGTTTAACAAACACCGTAAAGAAAGAGTTTTTTTTTCAAATTTATCAACAGAGGCCCTGAAAGAACTTTTACACGTAAAATTTTCTGGTCTTTCTTCTATTACAAGTTAGTAATGTATATGAAAATATTGAACATAATCTGAAAAAGATGAAAACAATTCTAATACCTACAGTAATTACAATAGTTGATTTAGAGCATAAAAGATTCTACATCTATACGTATAATAATGTTCATTTCCATTTTTATCTTATAGTAATTAATAAAGAGTAGTATTCATACGTTCAGTGAAATACAAAAAAATTACAATCCACATAATATTCATGTAAGGCGGCTTCCTCGTGACAGTTTCTGAACCAATACCAGATGAATTTAATAGTTAAAATCTACTGAATCTAATGATATAATTATTTATATCGCTTACCCTGCGAAATTTCGAGATATTATTAATTTAATGAAGCGCTTTCTAACACGTATTCTTATGGTGAAGCTCGCACACGCGATGAAAACAACTTAAAAACTCGAATAAATCAACAGTTCCTGTAATAAGAGTGCACACGTTTTGTAGAAAAAAATCTCCTTTTTCAAATAATGCCTAGAAAAGTAAGTGTTACCCTGAAAAATTTCGAGATATTCTATTAAAAATTGATTAAGTCATTGTATTTCCTCAGGTTCCCTTGCGCAAGTGATGCCAACTATACCTGAGTTTGCGAGCAAATTCGAGACCTACGAAGAGGGTTGGCATTTCTGCACGAGGGAGCCCCCTTAAATCAAATAAATAATTTCTTAATAACATATCACTTAACAGATTTAAGTAAATATTTATTTTATTTAAAGACACTTCTTTTATAATGAGTAGTACCAGTAGTTCTCAAATAACCGCCTTTAGCTAAATAACGCAGTTTGCTTTGAACCTTTTGTTCTCATCAATAATATTATAGGTAAAGCAACCCTCACCCATTCGTTGTAGGCCAGATAGGCTGCTTTGATGCCTCCGTTGTCTGCGATGTTTTCACCCTGAGTCGTAACGCCATTTACCTTTGATAATGAAGAAAGATGTACTGCATAAGAATCATTTTTTTATTATATAATTAGTTGAATTGGAGATATTGAAGAAAAAAAACGATGCGCAGAAGCTCAATTTTCAATGCGATGCAATTTAGTTAAAACTTACTCATTTACCTAATAATCCTAAAATGAACGAAGCTGGAAAAAAAGGGTGGGGTGGAAATGCAAAATAATTGTTTAGGAATCGAATGGAAAGGCGATATCAATAAAATTGTCATCCGAAACTTAAGGACGGTTTGTGTGAACGGATTTTTTTTCAATCTAAAAAAAAAATGTGTAGCAAGTAGTTGTGCATTTAAAAAAATTTGTGTTTTTATTTAGAAATGCTGTAAAAAAATTGTCATTCCTTTCTGCTGGACGGTTTTTGAGAAATTAAATGTAAGAGTGGCAAAAATTTTTGATTTTCACTCGCTTCTTAAAAAAATTATTAAAAAATCGTTAAAACTGTTAAAAACGGATGATATTTTTTTACTCCATGTTTTCAGAGAGTTAAATTATGATATAATATATATGAATGTCATACGCTTTTATAACTTTTAACCCCATTTTCAATCCCTTAAGAGATTGTCCTATCTGTATGCCATCAGAAACGCTAACGATAACGTGCAATATTATCAATCACTTCTGGGGTTGAAATCACACAAAAAAATTCCAAATTTTTTATTACAAGAAACTATCTACACTTGTGTAANATTTCCACAATAACTTGTTCGACTATCGTTGACAGCCAATGAGCCGGTGATAGTTTTATGACAGTTTGATGTATTCACATCCACACAGATTCATTTTATTTACGTGAGTGATTGAATGTAATAAATGTGTATATGAAATTTAATGAATATTTCATGGATTTTTTATGGAAATTTTTTGCACATAAGAAAATGGGAAAAATATTCGGTTATTTCATTTATTGGAAAATTTAAAAGTAAAGAGACAAGAATTTATTACTAGTGCATGTATACAGTAAAATAGGGTAGTGCAAAAAGAGTTTATCAATTGTACATTATGTATTTTTCTCTTTTTTTTTTTAATTTGACAACTTACTGATGGGAACAGCCTCGCAATTCTCAACATTGTTGACGGCTAACAAGAAACCGATGGTAAACGTGAGGCCACGTTCTACTACCGAGTGCCTCTTCCACCACTTAGGGTTTCTGTAAAGTATGAGAAAAAAGGTTAAACAAATTTTTACTGAGGTAAAATTTTTTGCAGTGAATATAATTTTTTACAACTTTAGTCCACAGTGTTTTACTTAGAATCATTCGTTTCTTAAATACAGAAAAAAAAAACTGATTTCGCAAATATTAACCATCGTCTGCTATAAATTTTGTAATATTTTATCAAATACGCGATGTTTTTTTCATTTCAATTTAAAGACAAGACGAAATTCTTTGATACAAGAAATATTGAGTCAAGATTTTTGATTTCTCAAGAAATCTCAAAAAAATTTTTGTCTTGAAAAAAGACCTTGCATTAAAACTTCTAGATATTATTTATTACTTACCGATAAATATTTATATACCAACTTTTCAATAAATATATATTTATGTTGTCAAAGTTTTGCCCGAGTTTTTAAACTTAATCGGATAAGCTATAAATTTATTTATGTATGCAATTAAATATTTTATAGATCGTAAAATGTACTTGTTACTAAGTATATAATAAAAGTACACAGATTAATTAGATATTGACTGGAGTCCGCGTGATCAAACAGCAAAGAATTAAACCAAAATAAGCTTGAAAGTGTGTCGTCGTAACTGTACTTAATTCGTAACGTCAAACGAATGTTTGGGACGTGTTTTCGAGTAAATAGTTGTTAAAAATTTTATTGAATACATACATACATGATGACAATAAATAATGTGGTATAGAGTGGGTGATTTTAAATTTTAATCTTATGCATTCGGTATTAAAAAAGAAAAATAACTGTACAAACGAGTTAGTGTACAAACTTACACGTGAAGGTACATCGGAATATATCATTCGACAAGATCAACGGTCGAAAATAAATTATCACGCTGGATGGGTGCTGTAAATGTTAATGAAATGATAGTCCGACATAAATATTTTCGGTCGCCGTACCTACGTTATATATTGTCTGTGACCAATTCATTTGTGCAACAGTATACTGTTTAGAATGATCTTTATTCACTATTATTTCGATTGTCAGAGGTAACAATTAAATTGATTAAGAGATAACATAGGTGAAAATATGGGTCACACAAGCGTATATGAAACCTAGAAATTCCATGCTGAATTTCAGAAAAAAATTTTATTAAATAAATAAAACTTCTTATGGTAAAGATTTTTTAGATCATATCACATACGTCAAAAATTTAATTTTTATCCGTCAGATTTGAGAACAGTTATTTTATGGTTTTTCAAACACTAATTTTTTTTAATAAAATA